AATGTAAAACTGATACTAACTAATAGATTCACCAAATATTAAGTCAAAGTTAAATGGTCATTGATAGTTTATTCAACGCAACGCACATGCGAACATTACGTTACTAAACGGTTACAAGGTAATAAAAATCACTTTGGCGCAGGTTATAATATGAAGAGGAGTAAGACAAAGAAAATTCACATAAATATAAGAAAAAGAGACGCACAACAAAAATAAATTAATCACAACCGCCAGAATTTTCAATATCACTGAATCACATGAAGATAATCAAAAATTACTTATGTTTTTCCGAGCCGTGGACGTAGTAAGAGTAGTTTTCTAGAGCCTTATTTATCCCACTTCTGACCTTTTGGGTGTCAGATGTATAAATTAAGCAGACTAACTTTATTCGCACTGTGATTTAATCTGCCAGATTTACATTGATGCGTCTTAGGCCGGCCACATACATACGGAATTCCGTTTCAATATTCCGTTTCGGAATTTCGAAAGGGTCGGCCACACACATACGGTATCCCGTTTTAATAATTTTTGAGTTGATTTTACAATTGTTTTTTTTTTATAAAGATATCTCAAGCTCCGATATTAATATATTTATAATTACTGATATATCGAATATCTACTGGTAACATAAAATAAAACAAGTTGTTTTTTTATATGCTGTTTTTGGTACAAAGACACAAGGAGCAAAAAACTTTAGAAGGGAAATATTATAAAGCAATTGAGTTAGTTTATTGGTACTTAATTCGTGAGAGTTATAAACGTTCATCATCATCATCATTACAGCCTTTCATAAGTCCACTGCTGAACATAAGCCTCCCCCAAGGAATGCCACAAAGCACGGTCCTGAGCCACCTGCATTCGTCGACTTCCTGCATGTCTTACCAGGTCGTCACTCTATCTCGTGGGGGGTCGCCCTACACTTCCCCTACCGGTACGAGGCTGCCACTCAAGAACCTTTCTTCCCCATCGGTTGTCGGTTCTTCGAGCTACATAGCCGGCCCACTGCCACTTCAGCTTACTAATCCGTTGGGCTATGTCGGTTACTCTAGTTCTACAGCGGATATACTCATTTCTAAGTTTATCACGCAGAGAAACCCCGAGCATAGCCCTCTACATAGCTCGCTGAGCGACCTTGGGCTTCCTCATACGGCCAGCAGTGAAGGACCACGTCTCAGATCCGTAAGTCATCACTGGCAACACGCACTGGTTGTACAATTTCGTTTTAAGGTTTTGAGGTATGTCTGACGAGAAGATGTATCGTAGTTTCCCGAACGCTGCCCAGCCGAGTTGAATCCGTCAATTGACCTCTCGGTCGAAGTTGGATTTACCTAGTCGGACTATTTGTCCCAGGTAAATATACTCGTCAAAAACTTCGAGCTTAGTGCTCCCAACAACTACCGGCATAGGTGTGACATGGACATTAAACATAATCTTTGTTTTGTCCATGTCCATCCTAAGACCTATTCGTTGGGAGAAACTATTGAGGTAATTGTGCATGGTGCTTAGGTCCTCCAGTGATTCTGCCATAAGGACTATATTGTCGGCAAATCGAAGGTGAGTGATGTACTCGCCGTTGATGTTAATACGGCGACCATCTGTAGCAAGGAGGTGTCGGATTTATCGTCCACAAATCTCTCGTTAACAACGTTCTAAAGATTGAGAGTGTGTAGACGAGGGTTGCGTACCTTATACTCAGAATCCCCAAACGGTATTTGCTGAAGGTCATACAGGCTTAGGCACCAACCTCAGCACATCCCGATGAGGAGGTGGAGGAAATGTATGAGGATATCTCTAGAGCCATGCATTCCTCCAAAACCCACCATACGGTGGCAATGGGAGACTTCAATTCAAAACTAGGCACAAGAGAGAACAGTGAGCTGAAAGTAGGGAAATTTGGAATAGGGCAACGGAATCCAAGGGGCCAGCAGCTGGCCGACTTCATGGAGAAAGAGGGACTCTTTATGATAAACTCTTTCTTCCAGAAGCGGCCCCACAGGAAGTGGACCATGTCGAGCCCCGACGGTTCTACAAAAAATGAGATTGACTTTATTATGACGACCAGACGACAACTGTTCAGTGATGTCTCCGTGATCGCGAGGGTGAAAACTGGTAGCGATCACCGAATGGCTAGAGGCACACTGAACCTAAACGTTAAGTTGGAGAGGTCTCGTCTAATAAAGTCACCGCTCCGTCCCCCTCGTGCTCTGGTCCAAAGTCCCGAAACCTTTCAGCTCGAGTTACAAAACCGTTTTCATTCCCTAGAAGACTGCAATGGAGTGGGCGATATGAATGACAAACTCGTGGAAACTGTCCATGCGGTCGGAGCTAAGTTCTGCAAGACCCGCCGCAGAAGAACACAAAAACTCTCCAATCACACTGTCAATCTCATGGCTGTTAGACGGGAGATGAAGCTGCATTCTTCAACAGATTTGACAGCATACATGCAACTGAACAGACAGATCTCCAAATGCATGCGGCGGGACTTGCGCAACTTCAATACAGCTTGTATTGAAAAAGCGATCGAGCGGAACTAAGGCTCCAAAGTCTTTGCCAGAGATCTGTCTGCCAGAAAGAGCCAACTGTCAAAGCTGAAGACCGAGTGTGGCAGCATCGTTTCCGGGACACCTGAGATTTTGAGTGAGATTGAGAGGTTCTATGGGCAGCTGTACACGTCATCGTTGGAGCCACACGCAAGTGTGAGTTACGATCCAAGAGCGAGTCTTCCGACCGACACTATTCCGAAGATATCCCGGACGTCAGTCTGAGCGAGATTAGAATGGCTCTCCAGAACCTTGAAAACGGCAAGTCCCCAGGCGAGGATGGAATTACAGCGGAGCTTCTGAAAGCGGGTGGAAAACAGGTACCTGAAGTCCTTCAGAAGCTTTTTAATTCCGTCCTCCATGGTGGCACTACTCCGGAGGCGTGGAGCAGAAGTGCGGTGTTCTTGTTCTACAAGAAAGGCGACAACGCTCTCTTGAAAAACTACAGACCGATTTCCCTTCTGAGCCGCGTCTACGTGCTATTTTCGAGAGTTTCAGTTTCCGAAAAGGCTTTAGTACCATGGACCACATACATACCCTACGGCAGATTGTACAGAAGACAGAGGAATATAATTTGCCACTTTGCCTTGCGTATGTGGACTATGAGAAAGCGTTTGATTTCGTCGAAATTTGGGCGGTGCTGAAGTGTTTGTACAGTAGAGCTGCGATGGCTATCCGAGTACAGAATCAGAGTACGAAACCTATCCAACTGCAGAGAGGTGTGAGTCAGGGTGACGTTATATCCCCGAAACTCTTCACCGCTGCATTGGAAGACGTTTTCAAGCTACTGGACAGGAAAGGATACGGTATTAGCATCAATGGCGAGTACATCACTCATCTTCGATTTGTCGACGATATAGTCCTTATAGCAGAATCGCTGAAGTACCTTAGCACTATGACTTCAATAGTGTTTACCAACGGATAGGTCTTAAGATGAACATGGACAAAACAAAAATCATGTTTAACGTCCATGTCACACCTATGCCGGTAGTTGTTGGGAGCACTAAGCTCGAAGTTGTTGACGAGTATGTTTACCTGGGACAACTAGTCCGACTAGGTAAGTCCAACTTCGACCGAGAGGTCAATCGAAATTGTACAATCAGTGAGTGTTGCTAGTGATGACTTACGGATCTGAGACGTGGTGCTTCACTGCTGGCCGTATGAGGAAGCTCAAGGTCGCTCAGCGAGCTATGGAGAGGGCTATGCTTGGGGTGTCTTTGCGTGATAAACTTAGAAATGAGGATATCCGCAGTAGAACCAGAATAACCGACATAGCCCAACGGATTAGTAAGATGAAGTGGCTATGGGCCGGCCATATAGGTCGAAGAACCGACAACCGATGGGGAAGAAAGGTTCTCGAGTAGCAGCCTCGTATCGGTAGGCGAAGTGTAGGGTGACCCCCCACTAGATGAAGTGACGACCTGGTGAGACATGCAGAAAGTCGATGGATGCAGGTGGCTCAGGACCGTGCTTTGTGGCATTTCTTGGGGGAGGCCTATGTTCAGCAGTGGACTTATGAAGGGCTGTTATGATGATGATGATGATTAAAAAAAACTATTTGATAATATAGGTACTTAAAAATTTGTTACTAACCTTAATATCGTAATTAACAACATGTTTTGCTTTATATTACTGAGTTTAGTTAAACAATAAATTTCAATAGGGTTGTCGAGTTACTTGTATTAATTTTTCGACCCATATATGTTAACAACCAAAGTCGCCGACAATAGATTAGATATATATTTATCTATGCAATAGATTATTATACAAAGACTTAGAATATACTGGCGTGTAGACCAACATAGTGTGCAAGGGAGAAGAAAATTCCGTATGGCAAAAATGCAAAATCGAAAAGGATACTCTGTAACTGCGCTAGCACTTCTTACTAGTTTGTGCTCTGTAACCGATTTTGAATGACAGATCGGCACAAGTCGTCACGCAAGAAATAAACTCCTAGATATTTTCTAAATTTCTATGGTGTAATAGTGGTTATTTTTAGTAAGTAGTTTTTTTTTCCAAAATGGTTACTTGTTCTGTGCGTGAATGTGGTGTTAGTAATAATGATAATTGCACATTTTACATAATATATTGTGAAGCAGTGTACTATGTTTTAACTTCAGACTCAGAAGGGCTACAACCAGGCTAGAACCCAGAGCCATTAAGCCAGTTTAAAAAAAAAACAAAAAAATTTATTTGTGTGAAAATTGGTGTAAATTCCTGTATAGGACAGTTACTATACTCTTTGGGTGTAAATTTCTCAGCCACACAGTATCACAGTATTTTTGTATATACAAGAAATTCTCAGCTTTACAAAGATACAAAGACGGATCGCGTAAGCATCATAATAGTCTGTGCGGATTATCCTGCTCGGAAGTCGGAACACTCATTAGGAATTCAGCTTGCACAATATTTTTTACATAGTTTTTGTTGCACAATACAAACTGCATTTATCAGGTGACCATGTTCTCTTCTCTCTTTGGTAAACGAAGATCATCGCCGGTGAGAGACGAAGTTCCACCAATTCCAGGACCCAAACCTGATGATGGTTATGTGATTGTAGATCCGTCGTCTCCAGGAAACAGTTTGTACCCCAATGTTAACGAAATTCGACCACCAAGCAGACCAGCTCCACCGGCTCCCGTGCCTAAAACTTGTGACCAGTCTTTCCATTATCTTCAAGGTGTACCTTTTATGTTATCTCGGGAGTTACAAATGGTAAAGAATAAAGATGCCTTCGCAACTGAAATAGGAGATCTTCTTGCATTTTTAACTAGCAAAATTAATATGAATAACTACAATTATGACTTTTCTGTTGAAAAGAGTGTTTTAAAAGAGTGTTAAATTTTTATCATATTGAAATATTTATTATCTAAAAACCACTAAATTGTCGGTCTCTGTTTCTGCTGATAACTGTCTTGGATGGTATCACTACCTTACCTATTTCTACTACTGCTGATGTGCACTCGTTTGACTGACAGTCGATTGACAGTTTTTTGGCAATATTGTTTTTATGCAATAAAAAAACAGGTTGAAAAACCTGGCTTTTCAAGATTTTAAATCACGATTATTGGATTGGCCAAGTAAGTTGTTACATTAAAACACAGTTTTTAATATTATTAACTAATGTCCTATTAAATAATAATATTAAAAACTTTTTAGTAGAAAGTAAAGTAGCAGTGGTGAACTTCACATGTCTTAAAATATTTTATTCTTGTTACATGCAGATTTCTTTACTAGGTTTTCCTTCACTGAAGATGTAGTACAATTGCACTTAAAAATGCAGTAATTAACAATTCGGTGATTGAATGTACTGTAAAATTTATGGCCAGTGCTTAGCATCTGAAATACCTACTTCCTCAGAAATGGGATAAGACCTGTACCCAGTAATGTGAAATATATAGGCTATAGCTATACCTTTTTTTTACTTTAAGAGTGGCAATTTTTTTTTATTGAATAAATGTTCCAAACGAGGACCATCCACCTGATGGTAAATAGATGATGTGGCCCATAGACATGCACCATTAGAAAAATGTAAATAAGGATTGGTAGCTTTATTATTGATTGGTTTTAATTAATAATTTTTGGGGCTTAAAATAATATAAATATTATATACCTTAAGATTAATTTTATAAGTTCTAACCTATGTTATATATAAAAGTAAAGTAAATCTTTTTTATTATAATTAAAAGCAAATTTTAGTTATTATTATTATGTAATAATGAGTAAATAATTAAAAAAATAGGTCTAAAGAAAGAATACTTTTTTGAATAAAGGATTAGTTTATGAAATGATGCACTTGTTTTGTTTAGATTTATGCATTAGAAATTAACCTGTAGTTGCAGTGACATATTTGTTCTGGTCAATTTAATATTTTTAGTACTTTTATTAGATGTATATAAGTATGTAAACATGATACTAAAATGTCGTAATATTATGTATTTCTCAATTTAAACTTAATCATGTCATAATATAACTAAACAAGTGTCTTATATCACATGTTAATCCTGGTCATCCTAGGTATGTTAATATGTACATCCAGCCAGCAATAAGTTTACAACTAAACTAAGATGAATTATTTATTTAATAAACCCAAATTGTTCTTGTAACTAAGAAAATGTAATAATGTGTAAATACTATTTGAATAGGTAGAGAAAAATGTATAATGTGATATTTTTGATTGAAGGTAAAGTTATAATTAATAAAAATATTATAACTTTGTACAAAGTTTAATTAATACATGTTATTCCTTACAAACATAAATTGACTAGCAAACTATACAGAAAATAATGACCTTTCCACTCTCTATCCTACAAATCTTTGTTAGGAGAATCATTTAAAATGATGTTAAGTTTTTATTTTTCATTTAATTAGGGTGACAAACGAACACGGTATACCTGATGGTAAGTGGATTCTGTAGCCTATAGACATTCTTCGATTAAGAATCAAAATGCAAGTTTTGTCACCCCTGAGGACTAAGATGGAATGCCTCATTACTAGTAAAAAAGGTCTTTGGTTCTCTACATTCACCATACTAAACACAACAGCATTGAGCTGCTAAAATACACTGATAATCTGTGAGAGCATGGTCTTTCCCCATTAATGCTACAACTATAATATAGGTGCAATATAGCTCTCCCCATGTAAATTATTAAAATTTACATAATATATTATTTCATTAAAAAAAAATCATTATCATTTCAGCCTATCACAAATCCGCTGCTGAAAATGGAACATCCCAAGGAATGTTACTAAAAGCAGTTCAGAAAAAAGATGAACAAATATGTAGATATAATAACATCCTCCACAGACCGAACCGAACCATCGCGACGGCTGGTGATCAGCGCAGGACAAGATTATAGTGCCAGAGTGTATGCATAAGCATAGGGTGCACTCTATTCCCTCTCACAGTCCAATAGGACGGCAATGCAATACTACCGGAGACAGATCAGGCGCAGAACCCACAGCTTTACATGCTTTTCGAGGCACAGAGGTGTGACACCGTCTACTTCAAGATTTACTCGAGCTACTTAAAATTTCTTGTCAGAAAAACCAAACATTAAAAACAAAAATCAATATTTTATTTAAAGACATTATTAAATTATTATATTTTACACATAATTAAAAACAGTAATATAATATTATAATTTCACAGTTATATTTTGTTGGAAACATGAATTAGATTAAGCATTTTTCTATTACAAAACACGCTAGGCAACATTGTACATAATAAGTTAACTAAACAAATATGATAGCAAAATTGTATTACAGAATATCAGAAAATCTTGGTTCAGTTCTATTTGGATTCAAAGTTCAACTTAACCCTTTTACAAAATAGGTACTTTATCATCTTTTAATTTTCTAACGAAATTGTTAACACCAAAATTCGTTTAAAATTTCCCACACAAAATGTCTCACGTTACTAATAAAAATTGAACTCCTGTGGTTTCCGTCAGAGGCGACAGAGGGTCACTGGAACAAGAAATGAGCGGTAGCATCTTCCTGATCATTAAACAAACAGCTAAGTAATAGAATCAGGTGTTACTTTGTGGAAATCCATTATAGTTATATATAGATGTATATTAAAGTTGGTAAAAATTACCTTGCGTACATCCGCTAGATAAAATAAAATGATGTGTCTTACCTAGTTTGAAGAGCACCTCTCGCCCTCTCAATTGAGCGGCGAGCCAAAACAACTTGTATTGGCTCACTGCTCTCTTAGCGGTCAACCACCGCAGAGTCTACATCACCTGAACATGCCTAGAGGCGAAACACGTGTCGTATTGTCGTCGGTGATACGTCTTTCATAGTGTAGTGGTGTTAGGAGTAGTCGTGCTGGGTTTAGTGGTGACGGGGATAGTGCACGCAATTGAGGGAGGACAGGAGGTGCCTACAATTAGGTAAGACACATAATTTTATTTTATCGAGCAAATGTACGGAAGGTAATTTTTACCAACAATAAAAAAACAGCTGTTGGAGAACGCGCCTGAGAATCGCGACAACTATGGCATATAATCCTTTATTACAAAATCTACCCCCCCCCCCCCCCTCCCATGTTCAGCAGTAGTTTTGATGGACTGTAATGACCGACAATGCTAAATTCGGCTAATCACATTAACGCGATATAAATGCAGACAAACAAAGAAATATAAACGAAGCGCTGTGTAGATTTCTAGTGACGCCGAAATCACGCTCAACTATTTGAACACATCTTTCATCTTTTTTTTTTTCTATAATCAGTCTGTAAATGTCCAATACTAGACACACCTACACAAAACCATGTTGTTGGTTGCAAATGATTTTATCTATGAGCGCGTGAGTGCGTGTTCTTATAATAAGTTGCTCATGGTTTTGGCGTCACTAGAAACGTACGCAGAGCTCCGTCTATATTTTCTTTGTTAGTCTCTGTAAATAGTGAATTACTAGACGTGAACAGTATGGATACTTCGCTAGAGCGAATCCAATATGTTATCTTGTCGGTAACATCCAAAGTGAATAGAAAAGAGAAAAGCTGAGTAAATTGTGGAATAATTAATCACAAAAATATTCAAATTAATTTCTAGCGATCCAGTACTTTGAGACAGAAATGCACAGACCTAAAATGCAGCTGTGTAGATTTATTTAAAAACTAATAACAGATCTTAAAGAAACTACAATTTATAACATGATTTTTCACATACCCTATATAATACATTAGATTAAAGAAATGCACAAGAGGAAAGAACACGCGATTCAGCAATATTTTAATCAACCTGCAGCAAAGTAGCGATGGGCGATGAATGAACAGTTAATTTTATATCGACAATTGACCGTCTTATAGTTAACTAGTTAATTTTGTCGTGTAGTGGCGGTGTAAGAATATCCGCTACCCGATATCATCCCGTGGGTGTCGTAAGAGGCGACAGAGGGAAACTAAAACTGGAGATGGGCAGCAGCGTCTATCTAATACCGACTAAAATTATGAAATTGCAGTTGCGAACCCGCTTGCCACGCGTGGCAACTATGGCAAATATCTCCCCTATGAGGCAATCTGTGGGGGAGTCTATTTAGCAGTGGACTTTAATAGGCCGTAACAGTAACGGTAATTTTATCGGCGACTCGCAGACTTTTTGGGAACTAACTACATAGTTATTCGTTTACGAAGGTCGGGAACGCGACTCCACCCGTTTCAATTTTTTAATTTAATAAGCAAAGGCTTCTATGAATACTACTTCTGCGGCCTTAATACATTGCGGACTATGTTACAATTAATTCTGCGTAACACTTAGTCGACCGCGTGCGAGCGAGAAGACTAGTGTTTTTGTAAACCGCGAATGTTGATTTTATATGCGCACTTATACGCGCATATTATTTATATGAGCATTTTGTCAAAACGTGATTTGAAGTTCATTTCAGATAATTATGTAACATATTTCGTATTTTCCTAAGAACAGTAACAATCTTAAATTAAAATACAACTCCGTAGCTTATTTACCGTGCCAGTTACCCGCAAAGCCGGCGCCCGCGCGACCCACAGCTGGGATACAGTTTTCGTTCTGAAATGCTGTCCATCGGTGGCCCATGTAGTTCTATGCTAGTCGACGTAGTCGGCGAAGTCGAGTATAGGGTAACAAACGATTACACAGTCCACCTGATGGTAAGTTTCCAGTAAACAGGTTCTTCGGTTCTCTACACTCACCATACGAAACACAGAAGCATTAAGCTGCTATTTTACGCTGGTATTCTGTGAGAGCGTGGTCTTACCCCGGTCGAGCCGACCCATTCGCGCCACAATCATAATATAGCTGCAGCGTGGCCCTACCTCGTAAAAAAAACTAGTCAATAAATGTCAATCATCGGTCGAGTTACGGTAGCGTATTAACTGCCGATGGCCCATCGCTACAGCTACAGCATGGTATACCTAATAGTTGATGGAAATGGTGTTCATTCTGTAGTTCGAAATATAACTTTACCATCGACCAATAAATACAGTTTATGTATTTCTTACATGAAAGAGAGTTAATGACAAAATGTATTTTCATAAGGTGGGATTGTAAGAAAAATGTACATTACAAAAGGCATTGGCCCCAACACTAATAGAGAGACAAAATCTACATTGTTTATACACAAATCGCACTCATTGTATATAATTAGAAAGTAGGTACACATTTCTGAGCCTTATTTCCCCATGTATTAACAAACTTTAACCATTATAATTTAAAAAATTTATACATTTTTTTTAAAATAAACAGTAATATCCTAAAATAAGTACTTAAAATCAAATTACTACCACATAATTCATATAATAAAATGCTTACTTTTAGTAGAGATATTCAGCAATTTCGTAATCCCTTAAGCAATATAAACATCTCAACCTATGACTGATAATGGTACAATTATTTTTTATTGACCCAGAGTAAAAATAATTGGACCATGGATCCAATGTGATATTATGAAAAAATATCTCAAGAGGAACTAGACATAAGAAATATTGCCTTGTTACCTCTTTGTGCTTTGGATAAATAGTACAAAAATTAAGTTAAAATACATCAATAACTTTAATTTTCTTTACATAATTTAAATAATTGCAGCCAAACCACATATAAAGGCGACAATGATGAAAAACGGTAACCACGTCTTCAGAAATGCCCCAAAGCTGAAAAAATATTAAAGCGAAAGTTTAGGTACTTACAAAATTAATATAATATAAATTAAACAGCATGTAATAAAAACCAATTCAAAGTGAGCATATTGGTACAACAGAAGTATGCAAAATATAAATTAACAACTTTAAATCATGAATAAATACAATAAGTAATATAATAATTTAAAATCGGCTCTTGTCCTTAACAAGTAAAGACCTGTTAAGAAATGATGTTAATAATAAATGTCAAAATTTAGTCTAATAGCAAGGTGAGGACTGTGAACTCAAAAGCTTGTGAGTTTGAATCCACTTATTCAAGTTCTGTTGTGAAACACACTTAAAACAAGCATTTTAAGCTTGCCAAGAGTAGTTGAAGGGAATATTAGTAATGTTTAATAGTATTACTAGTATTTTGTTAAAAGTAAACCTAATAAACAGATAAATTCTACACATGCACAATAACATGAGACCTGAGCACCACAACATAGCTGCCGTGAGCTTGTATTGTCACATTTCTTGAGGCTCAAGAGAGGTATGGTGGATTAAGAAAGAAATAAGAAGCAGTTGCCACCTGAGAGCCATATTATTGTAAATGTGTCATATATGATGAAATAGCACATACTCGTACCTGACATACTTTGAGTATGGTATCATGTAGAAGGCCAATTTAACCATATTCCAGTTTTTACAACCCCCATAGTTCATGATGTTGAGTGCGGTAGCCACATGGGAGTGGCAATTGTCATAGAATATTATATGCTGAAAAGAAAGAAAGAAAAAATATTTATTCACAACAATAACTATAAACATAGAGAACAATAATGCAATAAAACCTTGCTGTATGAGAAATGTGATAGTGAATTGTTGATTGATGATGTTAAAAATCATATTACAACATTTACACCTGTTTTATCATAAATAGCTGTTAACTATTTGGGTGAAACCTTTAAAAATGTTTTTAATAATTAGTACAATGCATTCACCACTGCTGTTTTTTTATAAAGAGTAAGGGTGACAGACGAGCACACAGTCTCCTGATGGTAAGTGGATGTTGTAGCCCATAAACATCTAAATTTATCCTAGATTAAAAATCAAAATGCAAATACATTGCCACCCGTGAGAAGATGGATTGCCTCGTTCCAGTAAAAAGAACCTCTGGTCTCTACACTCACCATACGAAATGGTATGGAGCTGCTATTTTATGCTGGTATTCTGTGAGTACCCACTTTAATGTATGGTAGTGAAAGTTGGGTCTGGCAGAAGAAGCATGAGAGTAGAATAAATGCTGTAGAAATGCGTTCCTTAAGGAGTATGCTAGGGCTGAATCTGAATGACAGGGTGAGAAATAGTGTAATAAGAGAAAAGTGTGGTTTGCAAGATGACGTTGTGACAAGGATTAAGAAAGGAATGCTTCGGTGGTTTGGTCACGTAGAAAGAATGAACGAGGAAAGAGTGACAAAGCAAATTTATGTTGCAGAAGTGAACGGCAGGGTCGGGAAGGGACGCCTAGACGAAGGTTTATCGACCAGATCGGCGATACATTGAAAATGGGCCAGATTAGGAGTACCCTTAACCGACGAGCGTGTATGCGTAGATATATGGATGTGAAAGAGGCGAAAGAGGTGTGTCAGGATCGCGCCAAATGGAAGTCCGTAGTCTCTGTCTACCCCTCTGGGTGACAGGCGTGAGTGTTTATGTTATGTTATATGTTTTTTCTGTGAGTATTCTCTACCATATTCACAATTAAAGAAAGCTACAGATGAGTTGTCACCTCTGAGAACTAAGATTAAATAGAATGAGATGAGCTAAAATGAATGCATTACAGCCTGAAACTACACACACACACACACACACACACATTCACACACACACACACACACGCACATACACTTACACACATACACACGCCCGCACACACACACGCCCGCACACGCACACGCCCACACACACATACATACATGTGCTTACAATGTTAATATTGCAAAAATATGAAATGCTTTTTACCATCCTTTTCTTGTAAATCTCAGATGCTTCAGCCACCGCTGCATCCCAACCAGCTTGTCCATTTGTAGCTTTTTGGGGAGACAGCTGCCAATACTTTGTGGGATTACCAAATGCCATTAGATCCTCTGACACGAAATATGGCCCTGCAAAATCTCTAATGACTCCATTTGAAGTACAGATGCCCATATGACCAAGAAATGGAAATATCCACCTAAAAATAAAACAATTTAATTTTGAAATATAAAATCCAATAAGACAAGAAAAAAGTTAATTTTAGTTATGGTGGTCTCTTAATTTTTAACTGAGCAGTGCATTTGTTGCTGTCTGAAGGGTGTTTAGAGCCAGTATATTTAAAACTTAGGAAGCATCCCTTCTTAGGGTTCATAAGACAAACATATATAGAGACGAGTACACAGTCCACCTGATTGTAAGTAGAGGCTATGACCTATCAACATCAACATCTATCAAACCTGAGGATTGAGACAGAATGCCTTGTTACCAGTAAAAGGGGTTTCCAGTTCTCTTAGTTCACCATAATATCAGCAGCTTTCAGCTGCTTTTTTACACTGGAATTTATATGAGTGTGGTCCTTACCAGACAAACCAACCCATTCATGCGGCACATATTTGGAGAGTGGCTCTATTGCAGTAAAATTAACATAATGTAATATTTTATCCTTTGATAAAGTAATCAGACAAAAATATAGTTAACTAAGCTCAGAGATATTGTGTATATTAAAAATTAAGTGCAGTTCAATTAATAATAGCCTCTTTTTTTATAAATCTGTTAAAAGCTTAAGTTATTAAATATAAAGTTAAGCTATGTTTGTGAAGTCTTGTTAAGAACATTGGAAGACTTCACACCGTGCCTGTGCCTGCACATTTGAGCAGTCCTTTTGATCGCTAGCAAGATCCACGTGTGCTCCGGGGGCGACACTCAATATTGAACACTGGCGTAAACGAACATGTTCTGTACCTTCTATTATCTTTTTGCATCAACATCTTAATATCTACATATTATGTTAATAGGAATCTAATAAACCTATAAGTACTACAGTCTACACTTGTGTATCAATTAACAACAGCTATTATTACCAAACCAAAATAATTTATTTTATAGAACGGCTATTTTAAATCACATGCAACAGCCATTCTTACAACTTATTGATTAATATGACTGTGGAAAACTGTATGTATTTGTTAATAAGTAATGGGTGCAACATCTGACTCATACATATTTAATTGGTACTCTCAAATATCTTTCACCAATAGCATTTGCCATTACTAGTTTTATGACACTATATGTATATCCAAAACAAATACGTCACAGCATGCAGAATAGAAATTTGGTATTCGGTAACCAAATGTTTAATTATTTTTTATTGTTATATTTTAAGATCTACTGGCTGATATATGTTAATGCTTTTCATTGTATTTTGTAAAGCACACATTGTTGTCCATTTAATCAGTTCTAGCATTTTTCATTAATTAAAATTTTATTTCACTACAAGATTTTATAGTTAGTGAATTTCTTTATAATTTCTGAAAAACATTCTTAAAATTATTTAGTTCTGTTATTCTTCTGAACCAAATTTATAATTTTCAAAAGTATTTGGCTGGCTTTTCACTATGGGATATAATATATATTATATCCCGAAATATAAATTATATCCCGCGATTGGCTTTCACACTGTGAGATATATCTTTTAACCAGTGTGCGTTCGTCATTCGTCATTGGATTACCCCCCTTTACCCCGTACACCGTTTGCGGGGGCGCGGAACGGTGTGCGGGGTACAGGGGGCGAAATATAATATGAAAATATCGCTCAGTCGATTGAAAAAATATTTATATCTTGAGATGTAATTTATATTATAGCTCAGTGTAAACGGTTCCATAGGAAATGTATGGTGAGCAATATTAATTTATATCTCGAGATGTAATATATATTATATTATATCCCATAGTGAAAAGCGGGCTTCAAACAGATTCAAATCAATATCATCAATACTACCACAAGACATGAAACTGCAGAGATATACCCAAATGAGAAGTGTATGAAGTTCTACAAAACACATGCAAAGTTCTACATTACACTATTCCACACTTATTGTTGTATATTATATTGTTATTATTGTTTTAGTAACGAATTCATACTGCTGTAAATTTTGGCTTAGCTTTCCATTGACTCCCGCCGAGTTTTGTTGTCTGCCTGCGATTTGTTACGCTAAGGCGTAGAGGCTGCTCTTCCCGCAGCGCCGGAGACTTAGCAGTCTCAAAATAGATACAGAAATCCTTCTGAATCAGTCCCCCTTTATGATGAAGGGGATTTTTTTCTCATAAAATGGATTTATATTTACATTATAAAAGCAAACATGAAAAAAAAATAGATATTTTAGAAATCGATACATCAGCTTACAATTTGAATCTATTTAAAAATCGATCTTTTTCGGAAAGAATCAACATCCCTACTGACAAAAACAATAAAAAAATGGCGTCAGTTTTATTGTAGGATTAGACATAAACAATGCAAGAATAATTGATTTTCAATAACTTTTTTCTCAAAAATTACGCACTTCCGCATTTGTAACTTTGTGTGTGTGCCTATAATAGTGTAACTTTTCTGTAAAAATATGTATCAACCCCCAACTCGACGGGAGTCAATGGAAAGTCGTACCTACATTTTTTCAATTATTAATTATTCATTGAATAATTAATTAATAAGTAAATTATTATGTGAAAAAAAGATCAAAATGTAATCATAATTAAAACATATATGAATAATTTTACAATATTAATTATTAATTTTGCAACTATATTTGTGTAATAATCAATTTTGCACTCCTCTGATAAATGGTTACCATAAGATAGGATGAGGATATAAATATAATATACTCACGTTAAAACAGGAATGGGGGTCCAAACGATGCAATAAGGGTATCTACATCGGTCATAATCTATAGGATCCATCAGAACAGCTTGTTCTCGATCGCTAAGGTCTAAAGGACTGCCAGGGCTTTGATCACCAATCATTCTTGTAAACAAAACTTACACTATTTTATTTGCTTCCATATCAAATTAAAGTTACCACTAAGTTATTAAAGGAACTATGCAGTGAAGAATGACCTGTATTTTAGTAAGATAATATACTGTGTATGTAATATACACAAGGATGCAATATTATTAAATACGAATGGAACAATTTAAAAATTCACATCGATTTACAATTTCATTTAATAATAAAAGTGACATTAACACTGTTGTTGTTTTTATTATTCGCTCGTGAGAGATCAGGCAAAGGACTAATGCCATACAGCCTTTTTTTTAATTTTGAATATATAGAATTTCACTGCTTCACAATATGTTGATGCGTCACATTGTGCATCCCTTGGGAGATTTTGACGGCAACTTGAGCCAGCAGACAGCTGACAGTTGGCGATGGTATCTAAAGGCGCCCATGCAAACAAACAGCTTATCTTGAGAATCCATCACCATCAGAGTACTTTAAATAGTACAACGATATTCCGAATTCTAAGGGAAAAGTCCTAGATCTAGTGTTCTTGGAGCAATCACATTTATTAGTACAGGTAGACCGTGCTACCGATGTTTTGTCTGCAATCGATGTGCTGCATCCTCCCTTAGAAATACTTTTAAAAACAAAAAAATATTACAACTTAGCACAAAACTGTAACTTCACTAGTCGAAACTTGTTTAGGGCCGACTATGAAATGATAAACAGAAAACTGGTGGAAATTGACTGGTCCCAAGTTTTTTTCGGAATACGAAAGGTAAAAGGTACGACATGGTAACAATATTTTATGATAAACTTAACAAAATCATTAACGAGTATGTTCTAATTGTAAAAAAACGAAACAAAAAAATTCCGTAATGGTTTAGCTCTTGTTTGATCAAGGCATTGCATGAGAAAAATAAAATAAGACTTAGATACAAAAAACATAACAATCCGTTAGACAAAATAGAATTGAATATTTGTAGGAAAAGGTGTGAAAAACTATCGTTGGATGCCTACAATACCTATATAAAACGCACTGAAGAAAATATTGCCCTTAATTCCAAATTCCTTTGGTCTTTTGTCAAATCGAAACGTGGCAGTCTGAATTCATATCCGGCCGAGATGACAGATGGTTCCGTAACAACGTCTGATGGTCAAGTTATTTGTAACTTTTTTGCATCGCATTTCTCCTCTGTCCACAGTGAAGAACAGTCTATTCAATCTGGTCAACAGTCACAACCGATCACATATTCCAATGATTTTTTCAGTTCCATTAACCAGACAGAAGAAATGATTCTACTATTTCTACAAACTTAGTGTGCTTCACCGAAGAACTGATTAAGTCCATGGACAATGACAAAGAGATTGACGTTATTTACATGGATTTTAGCAAGGCATTTGATAAAGTATCTCATTGCCTCCTTCTTCGTAAGCTTTCAGCCTATGGTGTGCATGGTGCCTTGTTGAAATGGTTCAGTTCTTACTGAAGAAGAGAAGAACGTACCCCTCAATATTTTCTTACTTAAGAAAATATTGAGGGGTACGTTCAGCCCAACTTTTTTAATACCTTAAATACGTGTAATCTGCAGCAATTTAACTCCCATAACAATGTTAACAACAGAATACTCGACTTAATCTTTTGTAATAATCACTTATCCGCAACAAAATGTACCGACCCTTTAGTGCTTGAAGACCCTCATAATGTGGCTCTTAGTGTTCTAGCGGATTTTGTCTAGTACCACACTTTACCAGTCCAGCCAAGGACTAAGTTTATGTACCATTTAGCTGATTTCTCCTCTATATCACGAGAGCTCGATAATATTACATGGTCTCACGATCTTTTCAGGGGCACAGTGAGCGATGCGTTATCACTATTGTACACTTGCTTAAACAACTTGTGCGGCACTTACATACCAATAAAAGTAGTAACCTCTCAAATGTATGGGAATTTACCCCATAGGTTAGTGAGGCTTGAGCCATAATTACTCGAATATACCTTAAATAAAAAGTTTAAAGTTACATAATACAGAGATTTGAAATTCCCGCGAAAAAAGTTTCATATAGGCGCCCACTGTAGCGCTAGAAGTATAAACGTATAGAATCATGTTCCAGTTTTTTAGTTTGGAGGTGGCGTTCTTCCCTCGGTAGAAAGTAATTTTGTTCTGCGGTAAAGACTAAGCATACTTTAAAGTGTAAGCTTATCCAACTATACCAAACTTAATGCGTACTTCATGCACTAGTAAGAACAGGTATTTGGATCGAGTCTAAATGCACCTAGTACATAATTTACCTAGCACGACATCTCTATTGTTGATGTAAAAAATGTTTGCCGCCACGCCATAGACTGTGGCCATAGATAAGTTAATATAGTATAATTTGGCGCTTTATCCTTATTGTTATTGTGGTGTCAGACTCAGAGAAGTTATTTATTTTTCTCTAAATGTGATTATTACTGTATCAAAATGCCAGCGTTTTTGAAATATATAGATATGGAGAATTTCAAATCCTATAGGGGTCATCACCGAATAGGTCCATTAAAATCTTTTACAGCAGTCATCGGACCTAATGGCTCAGGTAAAGAAAACTTGCAAACAGTTCTCGTCCACAGCTTAATAAAGTGATTTACTCTTTGGTGGTTTAAAGGATGTGGTTCATCATCATCACTATCAATATAGGCTATCACAAAAGCACTGCGAAATATAGGTCTCCACCACGAAATGCTGCAAAGTATGTTTCTAAGTCACCTGTACCCATCGTATGGATGATACGACCTAAACATTTATAATTAATTCAAACAACATTTTTTCTAAAGTTATTGTTGTTAATAAGCATCTATCTACTAGTAGGGCTCTACTTGGACTCCTTTGGTACTCTAACTTATTGCTACCGTCTAACGCAAAGCAAAAAAATGCGCCAGTGCATTGCTGTGTTCCAGTCTGTAAAGTGTAGAGAGCCAGGTGTCTATGAACTGCAGTAGCCACTTATCGTCAAGTAGACTATAACTTCATTTGTCACATCAGTTTTACAAATAATATTACAAAATTTGACTTTGTTTTTAGACCTACCTACAAACCAAGATATCCTTAAGTGTATGCTATGTTTTAGCTATAATAATATTTCTCTGACAGGGAAATCAAACTTTATGGATGCAGTCAGTTTTGTCATGGGAGAAAAAACATCCCTCCTACGAGTCAAGCGTCTTAGTGATTTAATTCATGGAGCTTCAATCAATAAACCTGTATCTCGAAGGTATTTATATCATATCTTGTGTTAATTTATATAGAAATGGTTCTTAGTATCTGAACTGTCAGTAAAAATAGCTTGCCCAATAAGTATTGCCCTAGTATGGAATATGAGCCTGAAACAGCAATAATGATGTTTTTTTTTAATGTTATGTGATAAGATCTCTTTAACTATACCCTTTTAGCTACATTTCATCTTTATTTTGAACCTCAATCTAGGATAGATGTAATGGTCATTGAGCCACACTTACCCTCAGGTGGACTGTGTGCTTGTTGGTCACTCTTATTTCTGTAAAAGAAATGAGCCCTCTATCCATATATACATTATTTCAATAATTTTATTGGTTTTATCAGGTTTCTAAACCTTGACTTCATACATGACAATGAAAGATCTCAATGAAAGAGTCTCATTACATTATAAGGTGACAGAAGGAAGTAGTGTCGACTAGACAGGTGAATAAAGTTATATGAAATAGGAACTGGTTTATTAAAGAGCTAACAAATTTAAAACAAGTTAAAATCATTAAAAAATTATATTACATTATTATTAAAAGACTTAATGGTACGACTTTCCATTGACGTCAGTGGAGTTTGGTGTTGATACGTATTTTTACAGAAAGATTACACTATTATAAGCACACACACAACGTCGCAATATACGGAAACGCATAATTTTTGAGAAAAAAATTATTGAAAATCAATTATTCTTGCAATGTTTATGTCTAATCTGCTAATAAACTGGCGCCATTTTGTAATGTCATTGTCGATGTCAATAGGGATGTCGATTCTTTCCGAAAAAGATCGATTTTTTAAATAGATTCGAATTGTAAGCTGATGTATCGATTCCCAAAAAATCGATTTCTAAAATATTGATATTTTTTTCATGTTTGCATTTATAATGTAAATATAAATCCATTTTATGAGAAAAAAATCCCCTTCATCATAAAAAAATAAGGGGACTGATTCATAAGGATTTCTGTATCTATTTTGAGACTGCTACGTCTCCGGCGCTGCGGGAAGAGCAACCTCTACGCCTTAGCGTAACAAACCGCAGGCATCCCTCCTCGCCTCCGCAGCTTCGGCTTGTTGGTCGCCTTCGGCGACCAGCCTCAGCCGCTCCGGCTCGTCCGATGCCTACGATTTGTTACAGCAGGCGGAGGCTGCTCTCCCTACGCGCCTCCGGCTCTATAAAACCACTCTAGGGGTAGGACAGACTCGTACCAGGTGGAGTCGGGGTCTATCAATTCGGTTCTTTGACATAAGTTGAACCTAACCTATTTTATTTGTTATCTGCCCTAATAGGTACTGTTAAATAAAACAAATTTCAATAAGAGATCATTTATCATGATATCTTTCTTGTTTTTCATAAAATGGGTTTATATTTACATTATAAATAGAAACATTAAAAAAATATAGATATTTTAGAAATCGATTTTTTGTGAACCGATACATCAGCTTACGATTTGAATCGATTTAAAAATCGATCTTTTTCGGAAAGAACCGACATCGCTTTTGACGTCGACAATGACATTACAAAATAGCGCCAGTTTATTAGCAGATTAGACATAAACATTGCAAGAATAATTGATTTTCAATTATTCTTTTCTCAAAAATTACGCGTTTCCGTATATTGCGACGTTGTGTGTGTGCTTATAATAGTGTAATCTTTCTGTAAAAATACGTATCAACACCAAACTCCACTGACGTCAATGGAAAGCTAAGCCGAATTATTTTTAAATAAGTAGTCACCATCATCACGATCATGATTGCAGTCCATC